AAAAATTTTTTCAGGGTCAATATTCTGGCCCTTCTTCTGCCATCTGGTGGACAAATGAGGAAGCAGTTAAATGATGCACCAGGAGTTACCTCAGAGTCCGTAAGTGCATCAGTCAGCAAATGCTTGTGCAGCATTATTATTATCATCAATTATTTTATTATTTGTCAAACGCTACGCATCAAAACACGTGGCATCATTAAATATTGTAACTACATTCAGTTTCTGTCCCCAGAAGAACTATGAAATATTACATAATTGAAAGCTCCCCGAAGATCTAGTTATTTTCAAGCAATCATTTCAACACACAGTGCAAGGCAAGGAAGGACTCCTTAAGACTATGAGTTTAGCATTTAGCTCATTTTAGCAGTAATATGCTTTATAGTGATATTCTGACTTCATGACGCTCATGCTTTTCAAAGCACGTCTAAAGAGAAAGAAAGGAGGGAGGGAGAAAGAAAGAGATGGATGCAACTCTCTAATGTCTTACAAATCCCCAAAATGACATTTTAGGATCATATTTAAAACCGTTTAAGAGCATCTGAAAGGAGCAAAATAACATCTCCGTGAGGTATCTGCATTTTAATCAAATGTATTATAGTTTACAGGGTATGGAGAGCAGAGAGGTAGTAACAAACATCCTGACTGCCACAGATTTAAGGAAAGTGACAGCCTCCTCAAATTAACTTGAACAAAAGGATGCTCCAAGCCTGTTGAATTGCCCTATACATAGCCACATCTGAATTCCTTCTTGCCAAAATCCACAGAAAAGAGGCAGCCATAAATCATGTAGGAAATCTACTGATTGTTATTAAATATCCTGTACATTTCATGGAGATGTGGCTCTTTACGCTGATAGATTCTGGCTGAAGGCACTCAAGACCAAAGGACCATGCCGTTTTGTATTGAAAGTGGCTATTGACTTGGTCCATTGCCACATGCTCTTTGGTTTTAAATGGGCATTGAAATCTAAGGAAGGCCCATCACAGTTTCCAGAATCACTACCCATGACATAAAGAGAGAAAAAAGCAGTGCTGATGTAACCAATGCACTCTTAACTCGTTGGGGCTCTCAAAGGGGCTATGGAGCACAGAGAACTCCCACCCCTACTTCCTGCTTCCACCACTCAGCACCCTCTTGGCCCAAATAACCCTTTAGCTTAAAGAGGAAAGGAAGGCTGCATCTTGAACATTGCCATTATGATAATCAATGTGCATATTTTGGATATGTACTGGATATGTGATGCTTTTCTAAACAAAATGAGAATTTTTGTAGCCCCCAAAATAGCCTACATAAATTACATCCTTTAAAAATGCATCCCGTAGGGTTTTTGTTTTCTTTTTTTTTTTCTGTAGCTGCTTCTTTATTTCAACTTCCACACACACATCCTTGACTGTGTGGCAACGTGAAAGAAAGGTCCATGCAATTTCACAATTGATTCCTACAGATTCTTTCCCCACCAGAGTGTCCAGGAGGGAGATCACGTAACATCTCCCCATAAGTGATGGGTTTGGAACCCATGGACAAATAACTGGTGATCACCCAGAGCCAGTACGGTTTCTTAATATTAGTATGTCAGTCCAAACCCATTTTTTTCGTTGAAATTGGTACTGTAGTACAAGCACAATGTCTCTAGATGACAGCAACATTTCCTGAAAGATGAAGGAGAAAAAATGAACTGAATCCAAATGTACTGGATTTGGTTTGGATCGATAACGAAAGAGGGACGTTTCCAGCAGAAAGCTGAACCATTCTGTTCTTTTTTAAAATTTTTAATTAATAACTTAAAAAAATTATAAAAGGCATGTCTTTAGAAATTTGTCCAATAAACATTCAATTGAGGATGCTCTTGATGACAGGTCATGTGCTGAGATATGAGGGTGGCAGCACAGGCAATGCAGACAGCCTGACCTTTGGGAGGCTACAGGCTCTGTAATTACGCTGATGCTAGACAGCAGGAAGAACTAGAGATTAGACAAGAGAATTACAAGCAAAAGCCAGGCAAACATCTTTTAGTCTACATTTCTCAGAGATGTATGGGGTATTCTAAACTCAAGGTCAAAAAATAGAAGACTCCAGCAACAGATGAAGAATCCTCTTCCAGAAGAGGAAGCTGTGGCTTTAGCACCTGCTTCATGAAAAAATCTTAATGGTTTGAGATGGCCGATACAGGGTGACAATGTGCTGTAGTTCCCCGGAAGACCAGTGCACTCTTGGGGTGCATAATATAGGCATATGGAGCCAGAGCAAATTGGCAACCAGCCCTTCATATTTTGTGATGCTTCTACTGATCTCAGAGTGTTGTATTCTCCAGTGGACACTGCACATTAGGTGGGTCACATACAAATTAGTGCCTTCACAAAAGATCTGCTGAGATGACGATGGGCCAGACACTAGAAACTATTGACCAGCAAATGTTTACTGAGTGACTACTTTGATTCAGTCACTCATTTCGGTGCTGGGGATAAATGATGGCTACAACAGGCAAGGTCCCTGTTGACATAGGATGACCATCTAATGACTAAACAAAAGATAAATACACAGTTGACCTGGTAACTCTATATTCCGATCAAAGCTACTTTAAAAACACCAAAATGTATGTCACATGAACCGCTTTGAAAAGGACTAGAGATGTGAGTGGGCCAGGTAATAAGAGACAGGTGATTCTCTTCCAAAAACAGATCCTAGACAAAAAACAATAGCTGTGCCGTACAGCCACGCCCTCCCACTAAATTCCTAATTGCCCTGTGTGTCTCCTATTTCTTCAGTATATGCTCTTTGTTGCAAAAAAAAATCTTCCTAAATGGCAATTCTAATTCTCTGTCTTCCCTTCTGAAAACCCTGAAGTGGCTCCTACTAGCCTGTAAAATTGAGTAAAACCTCATTAGATCCTCCTGCCTACCTCTGATGTATTTCTCCCTAGACTGCTTTCCTGGCCAAAGCTCCAGCCATTCTCAAATGCTTGCAATTTCTCAAACATACAAGATTACTTTGTGCCTTCAGTCTTTACTCACAGTGTTCCTCTTCCCTTCCTCCCACAATCCCATTAATTTCTACCCAAGAGTTTGCCCAAGAAGCATCTCCCCACAAGCCCACCCCCAAGGAAGCCTTTCCAGCCCTCCCTCAGGTAGGATTTATCCATGTGTACCCTGTACACACCTCTGTCTCTTTAGCTCAGGCATTTGTTTATATGCCTGTCCCCATCTAATAACCTGTCAGCTCCTGGAGAACAGAGATCAAGCCTCATTCATCCTTGTGTCTCTGGTAATTACCTGCAGATAATAGGCACCTTATGAACCCTTTTGAGAGAGAATAAAAGAGAGGAAGGGAGAAAAGAACAAAAGGAGGAAAGAAGAGGAAGAGATTTCCCAGGGCTTTCTTTTCTTTCCAGATAATAAATGCATTTTGCAAATAATATTTCAGGCAAAAGCTCTGGCCTTTGTTATCTAAATCAAGCAATGAGTAATAGTGAGAATTTCAGTCCAGTCGCTGTGCAAGGTAGATGCAGGGAACATGGGAAGAGGGGACAAAAAAGTGACCTGTTATGGCATAGGCCAAGGCAGAGCAGTCACGTCCCACCAAACAGGGCGGCCATGGCATGTTGCTGCATATGGCACTTTGCCAGCCAGGTCACAGGCAACATGCCATGGCCTCCCTGTTTCTGGCTTGTTTCTGACTGAGCAGTCGTGTGGAGAAATGAAAATGAATAGAGAAATTTAAAAGGTGACCTAATTCTCTGCTGAGGGCATTTCCAGTCATAGGTCTGAGTGCATTTTAATTATACCTGGACACAGGGGTCCCCACTCAGACGTAACCGCAGTCCCGAGTGGACTGTCCCTGTGGTTGTAGTTGTCTGAGCTTGTGCTTTTCTCAAGAGCCTGACATCACACGGATCGTTAAGCAACTGTGCGGAGGAGCCGCTGGGCGTTTCCATAGCAACCTGCATGGGTTGCCTGCAGAGCTTGGTAACAAGAGCATTTTATTATGGGTCATTAAGGGCAAAAGGCTTGATTTACCTTATTTCCTGTAAAATCCTATTATTTCAGGTGTTACATTCCACCTCCATCTATGCTGCTCTTCTAGAAAAAAAAATCATAAATGTGGATTATTAGATGGAGAAACCATCAGAGGCTTCAGGTAAGCACAGCCACACAGTGATCTATAGATAAGAAAAGTATTTTGCCCAAGGGATGTGTGGTCCAGAGGTACCTTAGTGTTCTCTGAGGCCAGAGAATTCTTGCTGCGAAATGTGAAGTCTGCTTTTTATTGTCTGTTCCCTTTGCCTGAGTCATGCTTTCGACTGGCCTTGATGAGGGTTCTTGGATTCTGCGTTCTGCTAAATAAGTATCGCCAAATCTGGCCTGACCGTTCCTTAGCCACAACCGCTGCTGTCTCGGGTGTCTTATATTCCAGAGTGACCAAATGCAGCAAATGGCAGCCCCATCCGTGCTGAAGCACATAAAGCTCTAGAAGGCCGTGAGCCTCTCTCTCTCCTCTTATCTGTACTTGGGAGCAGGGAGACTAAGCATTCAACTCTAGTTAGTGTCTTTCTGGTAGCCCAGGACCCTGACCAGTACTGCGTGTGGACCTGGAGCAGATGGACAGTGATTGTTTTTGAAGTGTGATAGCATTAAGTTTAGTTGGGGAAGGGACTCCGGAAGGTCATTGACCCACAGCTCCATCTGCTCTCTATGATTAAATATATCGATCTACAGAGGCCATAGCACTAATGCCGTAGAACGTGCTCAAGCTTCCAAACCCACAGGACCCAACGATAGCTAACTTAGGCCTTTCTGAATGCTCGCAAGTACTTCATGATTACGAAGATTCTGGGGGTCTTGCCCGCCAGGATGAGAGCTGAGGACTAGAGACAAGCAGCGGTGAGGTATAATTCTTAAGTTTTCCGAGTTAATTATGTACTGTAAGGAATACGTGAAAAGCTTCCCTGCTCAGAAAAAGCATTCCCTAAAGACTAGAACAATGGGCATGGCATTGAATTAGTTCACGATTTCACCGGCATTTCACACCCTCCTCCAAGGATGCGGTGATGGATTTCAGATGACCCAAAGCAGAGCAGTGGCCAGCAAGTGGGTGATTATTCATCCTCTGCTTATAAAGAGGATGCTACTGAATTGCAGGTTTTTTTTTTTTTTTTTTTTTTTTTTTTTTTTTTTAGATGGAGTCTCACTCTGTAGCCCAGGCTGGAGTGCAGTGGCGCAATCTCAGCTGACTGCAACCTTCGCCTCCAGGATCCAGTTCAAGCGATTCTCCTACCTCAGCCTTCCAAGTAGCTGGGATTACAGGCACAAGCCACTATGCCCAGCTAACAGCCTATTTTTTTAACAAAAGACTCCCTCCTCTTAATATTCACCAGAACTGTTAGAGCTAGAAAAGTAGATTTTTGTGTCAAATTTCAATCTTTGAACTATAGTTGAGGCATCCCTAATAGGAACAGTGCAATCTCTTCTATTTGGGTTGAATGACCCAAGGCAGAAGGCGGGTCAATGAAGACAATGTGAAGAATGTTGTTGGGTGTATTTCCTGGTGAGACAGAAGGACCAGAAAGGTGAGAACAGTTCAGATTCCTGCTGAGCAGCACGAGGCACCAACACATAGGACCTCCAGTGTACCTTCAAGTCCAGAAGGTATGACTTGAGAGTTAGAACGAAGAGATTGTTTTACAACTTGCTTTCCTTGCCCCACCAAAGGGTTTAGGCTAGATCAGATTTGGAAAATGAGGTAGATATACGCTCTCCAGTATGTCAACACCTAGAGAACAGAGGCGAATATGAGTTTTAACTGATAGTTTTCTATCAGCAGTTACCTCTAGCTAAAAGGGTTGCAGCTACATGATGTGTTAAACCTCCCTTTAGAATAATTGCATTTAAGACGTCCCCTATTTCAGAAGGGGAATCTTCCTGCTACGTAAATCAGTGAGTATACAAATGATCAGAGTGAATTTTAGAGTGAAAGGGGGCAGTTTTACAGGCAGCTCTCATAAAGCATTTAAAAATGAAGAACTGTTTTTCTTGTGTAAAGATAACTGAATAGGAATGGTATTTACACATTAAAATAATGCTTTACAACCTATGTTTGAAATTTCCTCTACAATACATTAAGATAATTTCTGTTTGGTATAAAATTTAAGATAAAATTTGTATGGTTAAATCTTGTGAACAGAACATATACAGAGCAGACTTAAGGAATAAAAACATATTAGACACAATTATGACAAAAAAAGAGATACAAAATTTAAAATAGAACCCAATTTGATAAAATGGAAAGGTTCTAAAGTTGTAGCGGTGTTAGTTACTTCTGAATGTGCCCTTCCCTTGTATACTTCTGGCTTCTAAATAGAAAGAATTAACAATGATCTGTATTACCAAAAATAACAGTGAATTAATATGAGAATGGCTTGAACAAGATGAACTAATTTAAGGAATGAATCTATTATATCTTAAACCATTAAAAATTAAAATCATCCTGTTCTGAATGAAAGGTCCGACCTGCCTATGCCCATATCTCAGAGAAGATTCCTCTTTCATATTATTTCTCTTCTTAATAGTTGTGAAGAAAACTGTTAGAACTTTTTCAGGTCTATCTCTCCTCAGTTCCTGAAGAAATCATTACCTTGCCAATTAGCAGTGGGCCTACGAAAAACCAAAAAGTATTGTTGAAAATGAAAGGTTTCGTTATTTCAATACTTGGGCATAGTCAAAACAGTTCCGTGAATGATTTTTCTTTTCTTTCTTTAAAAAGGAAAAGTCGTATCTATTTATGGGAGGAAATTTAAGCTAATACAGACTCCTGGCTTGGCACTTCTTTTTGCACTGCTCACTTAACACTCCCGATTCCATACCTCTTGCTAATACATGTGACCACATAGTATATTAACATAGTGACATTACACTTCCTCAGCGTGAGACCTTTTATTTTTTGATTGGATGAAATGGTCAAAGGTGTCAAAACAATCCCCTTATAAGGTATCTTTATAGGCTAATTGGGAGTCAGCAATGGTCAGGCCTGGAGACCATTTAAGTCACAGCAATTTCCAGGGCCGATTAACAAAGAGATCTATAGTGAAAAGTCCATAGACTATCAAAGCAGAATAATAGCTTTTCATTGTCTATGCCTGAGTCTCAGGGGTTTGAAGGGCTTCACAAATGCCACCTAATGATTTTCTGCAGCGTCCTGGTAGGATAGTAGGAGGTTTGCGTGCTGACTATGAGGCACGGTGTGCAATGGCTACTAAGACACTTCAGTGCGTGGTATTTATGTTAGTAATGCATTAAGCCATGCTGTTTTTGACTTAATTTTGGGGACTTTAGGGGCACGACACAGGTTGATCATACTCATTAGTCAAAGGCATGCTATTAGCATCAATCTGAGAAAGGTCCTTGATTTGTTTTAATACCTTTCCATTCATCTGCCATTTCTCATCCTATTCCTTTCCCTATTCTACTGGAAGAGTATGTAAAAGTGTGTCCCATCCTTCCAGGTCCACCATATGTAAATGAGTGCATTATGAGCCAGCAATTTTGCCCCTGGAAGCAGACCCCAGAGAAAAGCTAGTACAGATTCACAAGAAACTGTGCATGTGTTTCTTTTTCACAGAATTGTTTGGGGAACTATAATAAGTTAGAAGCCACATGTGTCCATCACCAAGTGAAGAGAGGCATAAATTATGGCATATACACATGGCAGAATACTATGTAACATTTGGAGGTAAGGAATTAAAATCTCATATAGTAGCATGAAAAATGCATGAAACAGAATGAGATCTAGAATACAATGTCATTTATGTAAAACTTTCAAGCCATACACCCAAAACAAGGCTAAGTATTTCTCAGGATACATGATTATTTCTTGTTTTTCAAGGAACAAATGGTTGTAGTTGACTAAGAATGAAGAGAAGGGCAAAGAAAAAGAATAAATGTAAGAGAAGGGGAGGTGGAGTGGGCAATGGAAACATTTCATTAATTACATACCACACAACACAAAGTATGTTACATTCATTCTCTTATTTCAAACACATTAAAAACCTGTGAGGGAGATGCTATCATTTCCTCTCCTGTTAGTTGAGGCAAGAAAGACTTGAAAAAGCTAAATATTATCCAAAGTTTCACTGCTAGAAAGTGGCAGAGTCACCATGCAGTCATAAATCTTCATGAGCTCTGTGCTAAGGTAAAGTTGAGGTTATTCATTAGGAATTTCCCCACAGCCAGTTTTCTGTTACAACTCTATGTCAGCTTTCAAGTAACTGTTAATGATTTTTTTTCCCAAGTATCTAGATTCCAGGAAGTATTAAAAGCAGAAGACACAGCTGGCCACAGTGGCTCACACCTGTAATCCCAGCACTTTGGGAGGCCAAGGTGGGCAGATCACCTGAGGTTGGGAGTTCGACACCAGGCTGACCAACTTGGAGAAACCCCATTTCTACTAAAAATACAAAATTAGCTGGGCGTGGTGGCATATACTTATAATCCCACCTACTCGGGAGGCTGAGGCAGGAGAATCACTTGAACCCAGGAGGCGGAGGTTGCGGTGAGCTGAGATGGCGCCACTGCACTCCAGCATGAACAAGAGTGAAACTGTCTCAAAAAAAAAAAGTAGAAGACACAAATACAACCAACATGAATATATTCAGCTTCCTAGAAACACCCATTTGTGTCTGATCTATACCTCAGCGCTTCATTAATTTGGTTAGCGTGAGTTGATATCTAAGAAACAAATAGGCTGAATGCACCTCAAAATCTAATTTCCTGATGTGGGAAAGTGAGAACGTTTCAATGTGGCGGCTCATCTGCCTTCGCTGAATTTGAAAACCAGACTCGACACCATGGATTATCTCTTTTTAAACTGTAGATTTTTCTCAGTAGATTATTAAGCTTCTGAGAGTATGTGTTGTGTTTCTTATTAATATAAAATATAGTATACTTAAACTGTAAAATATTAAAGAAAAGTGTTAATTAATTGTAACAATCCATTAAATTTTCTTCCTGGAAGTTTTATGCGGTATGTCTAGGTTGCTAGAGATTGCATTTAACAGGGATAAAATCTCTTGGCTATAAATCTAAGTCAATATAATTTTTTTTAAAAAAAGTCCATAAAGCCAGGCCACATAGCTGTCATTGAGTTGAGGCTCTACTTCCTCGATAATTGCTTGGTGGAATTGTCTCGTGGGAGCTCCGGGGAAGATGGCACAAAGGCTGCTTCTGACCAGTGAAGGAAACGAAGACAAAGGTGAATGGATCGTTGCACTGGCGTCGCCAAGTAATTATAAATGCTTGAGATTTTCACTATTCTATTAAATGTTTTCAGCATGTAATCCAAAAAGAGAAGTGAAAAGTTCAGTCAGGAAGCCATGACAGAGAGTATTGTCTATTGATAATCTCATATGAATCCTCAAAAGCTGGAATAAAAAAGTGAGGGTGGAGTGGAAGGGAGATGAAATTTGTCTTAGGTAAGCTTTGATATTCATGGCTCCAGAAATAGAAAAGGAATTGAATAGTAATAGTGGAAGGCAAATACTTTCTCTCAGATATTTACTAGTATCTAGTACAAAAATCTTTTTATTTCCACTAAGAAGAATATAATTAAATGATTCTACATGGACTCCATTTTTCTATGTAAAGCAATGGTTCTTTGTGTTTTGGGGTGATAAATGTCTTTTAAAATTTCACGAAAGTTAAAGACTATCTTTTTGAAAAATGCACATTCATGCATCATTTTGCATAAAATGTCAGGGGTTCATGAATCCAAAACCCAAGAGCCTAGGTTAAAAAGATCAAACTTACAGAGTGTACAGCAACTCAATCTACATTTCCCTCACCAATTCTTTTAAATTTTTTAACGTTTTCTAAGAAACACCTTGACATTTGCCATTTTTGCAGGTGTTCACAGATTACCCTGAAAGAAAATCAATCATCCTAATTCCAGCAAAGCCCCATTTTGACATAATTAGATTTTGTTTACTTAATTGGAGCTGCCATTGAATTCTGCAAATTGCACACATCATAATGGCACTTCCAGGAACTAGTGCCAAAGGACACAAAAAATATCTGGTTACCAAGGAGAAGTCTAGTGATGCCTTGTACTTGTGGAAGGAAGGCAGTGTTAGTCAGCGGCCATACAAAACCAATAGCAGACAACTAAGCACATCCGCGGGAGTATTCCAGTGGCGTAGCTGACACTCAGTTAAAATATTCCTGTCTAACCCCCATGACGGGTACATTATTAAGGTTTAATGCAATCATATTTTGGCAGCAAATAGAAATGTTATTTCCCAGGTGCACTGAATCAAATTGAGAACATTTGTTAAGTGATGAGATCAGTTCTTTGTCTTAGGATGATCTAATGAGAAGCATTTACCCACTAGGAGAGGCTTTAGATTTCAAAGCTGTATGTGCTACCTACCCGCATGTTCGTCTCCGTTCTTCAGTGTCCTCAAAACAGGGGTGCAACAGAGATCTAAGGTACCGTTAAGAATCTGTTCATCTAGCTCAGTCATGCCTAACGAAGGATGCCATTTCCTACTTTCAGTTTTTTTTTTTTGAGTTGCTCCTGTGTGGATGATATTATTTAAACCAACATAACAAATTCAAGCTAGATAATGAGAAGTCAGGAGGCATTACGAGGAGCCCTGAAACAGGAAGGCAGAAAGACTGGGTTTGATGCCTGGCCCTATCACTTAATAGCTGTGTCAACCTGCGTAGTGTCTGTGGGCTTTAATTTCCTCACATACAGAGTGGAGGTAAAGTGCTTATCTGTTAGGGATTTTCCGAGTTCTCACAGTAGCCGTTATAGGGAAGTATGTTTTTTTCAACATTACAAATGTACTTTACATTTACCTTTTTAATTCTTTGTAGTATCAATGAATGCAATTTAAGAACATGAATATTACCGCAAGACCCAAAACAACAACAATTTTTTTAAAAAAGCAGTTTCCTTTCCAATCCTGCTTTCCAGGGACAATGACTTTCAATCCTTTTGTTCATTTTGGACTTTATCTCCATTTTTATAACATGCTGATATCAGTTTCTGGATGCTTCCTCACACTTAGATGTTGTATATTGAATTTGTCAGTTGGATGAAATTGCTTCTTCTACACCACCCTCAACACACACACACTTTCTTCTCACCCATCCTCACAAAACAGTTATCACAATTTGTGTTTAAATAAGTTTTCATGATTATGGCAATAAAAATGTTTAGAGCTGAGCCATCTAATCTACTATGAGGTCATTCCCTTCTTAGACAACTTCATCTCGTATTGTTTGTGTGTATACATATGCCTTTTCTGTTTACCTTTCATTAATTCCTCTTCTAAATCTCCCCCTGAACTACAAATACCCTCTGAACATGATGAAATGCATCAGGTTCAATTTCTTTTTCCTATAACCTTCTTGCAATCCTTTGCCTTTCTGCTATAATTATGACCCTTCCTTCCTTCCTCCCTCCCTTCTTTCTTTTCTTTTTGTTCTTTCTTCCTCTCTTTCTCCCTTCCCTTTCCTTCCCCTTTCCCTCTATCCCTCCCTTCCTCCCTCCCTCCTTTCCTTCCTTCTTTTCCTTTATTTCTTCCTCTCTTTCTCCCTTCCCTTTCTCTTTGCCTTTCCCTTTTCCTTCCTACCTTCCTTCCTTCCTTCCTTCCTTCCTTCCTTCCTTCCTTCCTTCCTCCCTGCCTCTCTCCCTCCCTCCCTCCCTCCTTTCCTTCCTTCTTTCTTTTCTTTTATTTCTTCCTTTCTCCCTTCCCTTTCTCTTTGCCTTTCCCTTTTCCTTCCTTCCTTCCTTCCTTCCTTCCTTCCTTCCTTCCTTCCTTCCTTCCTTCCTTCCTCCCTGCCTCTCTCCCTCCCTCCGTCCCTCCCTCCCTTCCTTCCTCCCTTCCTTTCTTCCCTCTTTTCTTTTCTCTTTTTTTGAGACAGGGTGTTGTTCTATTACCCAGGCTGGAGTGCAGTGACATGATCATGGTTCACTGCAGGTCAACTTTCCAGGCTCAAGCAATCCTCCCACCCTAGCCTCCTGAGTGACTGGGACTACAGCTGCATGCCACCATACCTGGCAAATATTTGCATTTTTTATAGAAACAGGGTTTTGCCATGTTACCCGGGCTGGAATCTTTACTGTTTCTATGGGCTCCTAAGGATAGATCCTCTACCACAACCTGCTGATTTCACTTTTCTCCTGTGATTAGAGCCCCTGCTTCCTACATTTCTTTCTTGTTTGTTCTTTCTTAATTTAGGTAGAGTATACTATCTTGTTGCTTCCTAAGAAATTATGTGTGAAAGGTAAATTTTCGAGACTGACTGCATCTGAAAGTGCCTCATTTTTAATTGAGACTTGAGTTGGGTATAAAAATAAAGGTCGGAAATTGTTTCCTTGTGGAAATAGTATGAAGTGAGGTATGTCTTCCTCTGGTCAAACACATTGTTTTATTGTCTGCAAGCTTTCGGTGTTATTCCTGAGAAGACCGATGCCATTCTAATTCTTAAACTATAGCGTGTGAACTGCTTTTTCCTCCCTGAAAATGTGTAATGTTTTATGGCTCATGAATGTGATAAAGTTCCGGGATGTTGGCAGCTTTGTTGTCTTTTCATTTTGTTGTGCTGCTGTGCCCCTGAGGGCCCTTTGATCAGAATTCTCACGTCCTTCACTTCAGGGAAAATCTCCTGCGTTATTTACACGGTAATTTCCTCCCGTCTGTTTTCAAGTCCCTTTTCTAAGAACACTGCTAACAGTTTGCTTTTTTGTCTGATTCTACACTGACCCCTTAAGAACAACTTAGTAACTTCAAATTCTAATTTCTGGAAAGGATGGACACAGCAATGCTGACCTCATAGGGCTGCTCACACCAGTCAGTCAGCCACTGTCAGCCACAACACTGGGCCCTAACTCAGGTCACAGGGATGCAGCTTTGCCCATCACTTACACAACCAACCAGAGAAAGGATTCTCACACTGCTCTATTTTTTCTTCTTTCTCTCCACTCTCCTTCCTCCTTCTACCTCTCTTGTTCTCATTTGTCTTTCTCACTTCTCTCCCTTATGACCACTTGGCTCTTTTCCTTTTTCACTCTCTTTCCTTTTTCCCTAAACTTCACAATCTGTCTCCATCCTCAAAGCCAGGGACACAAACCCCTGAGCATTGTGCCTAAACATTGTACAGTGCAAATTCCACTGAAAAGGTAGATTTTATTTTTTTGACATAATATAATGCTGTATTTATTTTCTTGTGCTGCCATAACAAATAACCGAAAATCTAGTTATCTTAAAACAACACAAAGTTATTGTCTTGTGCTTCTGTAGGTCAGAAATTCAAATATGAATCTCACCGGACTAAAATTAAGATGTCACAGGAGGCCAGGTGTGGTGGATCACACTAGTAATCCCAGTTTGGGAGGGAGGCCGAAGTGGGAGGATCACTTGAGCCCAGGAATTTGACACCAGCCTGCACAACATGTGGAAATCTCATTTATGCTAGAAAGAAATAAGAAAAATATGTCAGCAGGGCTGAGTTCCTTTCTGGGAGCTCTGGGGAGAATTTTCCACCTTCCAGAAGCCATCCACATTCCCTGGTTCCTGGCTTCTCCCTCCATCTTCAATGCCAGGAACAACAGGTCAAGTACTTCTTAACAGTGCATCTCTGCAGAAGTAGATTTTTATATTGTCTTTGAGTTAGCTAAGTCATTAGAAATTAGTCTTTGTATGTTCCAAAGGCAAAAATCAACCAAATCAGCAAAAGATTTCTAGTTAATTGCAAAGTTTTATTAAACACTTAGTATTTGCCATTCATTTTGCTGTGTTATCTGATTGAAGCCTTTTAACAAGTCTATGTAATAGATACTCTTCTAAGTCCTGAGTTAAACATGATGAAATGTGGGGAAATTAACTTCTTTAGGCATGGAGCCACAAGAGAGGCTCATTCACCAGTCTGTCTGGTTCTCAGGTCCATGCTGGTAACTAATCTGCTATGGCTTCCTGACAAACATTGTTTAAGGCATTAACACAACCTGCAAGGCAAGCTCAAATACTCCAAGTGTGCATACAATTTTAAGATTGCCTTCACATTTTTCACACCCTCTGCCTGTTTAGCAATACCTGCTCTTCTACCTCTTTGCAAATCTCTAGATTCAGAGACGGAGGGGTTCTGTCAGCTCCCTCCCTCATCCTGAGCTCTCCCATCCTCATGGGAAAGGGAAATACGGAAAAAGTAGAGTTTTCCAGATTGTTTCCAGTCTGGCTTACTTCTTTTTGGATGGAAACATTTGGCAAAGTGATCTTTTTAAGGCTCTTATAACAATTACATGCAGCAAGCTTCTTAGGTTCATTAGATAGAAGTGAATTTCATCAGTTCAAGTTCCTGGTCAGTGACTGTGACTGCTGTTTTGAGCTGTAAATCTAGTCTGACTAATACAGGATAATGAGCAAAGTCTCTCTGCTCTCTCTTCACTGTAACTCAGCTCTGTATCATAGAACAAAATCTCGATTCTGACTTCAGATTTATGCTGAGCAGCTCGTCAGAATTTCAGTTGGCATTGTGTATGAGGGTAGGAGGAGGTGCTACAGTTTGGGCATAACTGAGTTTTTTTCAAAAAAATTTTTCTTTCAAGTGACTTTAACCCCTGATTCATTTTCAACTTGGAAAATATATCGGGTATATAATGGACTTTTAGAGCGATACTTCGGCAAGCACAATTTATAATCCACTATCTTTTTCTGTAAAGGCTTTTTTTTTTTTGAGACAGAGTCTGGCTCTGTCCTAGAATGCAGTGGCACGATCTCAGCTCACTGCAACCTCCACCTCCTGGTTCAAGTGATTCTCCTGCCGCAGCCTCCTGAGTAGCTGGGATTACAGGTGCCGCCACTATGCCCAGCTAATTTTTGTATTTTTAGTAGAAACGAGCTTTCGCTATGTTGGCCAGGCTGGTCTCAAACTCCCGACCTCAGGTGATCTGCCCTCCTTGGCCTACCAAAGTGCTGGGATTACAGGTGTGAGCCACCTCACCGTGCCTGTAAAGACAATTTTCAGAAAGCTATTTCTGTCATTTTTTTAAGCTGATATCTTCTTCTGTGACTGCCACGTCAACTTTATGCCTTATTTTCAACATCTTTAGGGTATTTTTAAAAAATTATTGCTTCGAAGTCTAATGAGGCCAGGCGCAGTGGCTCACACGTGTAATCCTTTGGAGGCACTTTGGGAGGCCAAGGCAGGTGGATCACCTATGGTCAGGAGTTCAAGACCAGCCTGGCTAACATGGCAAAAACTCTGTGTCTACTGAAAAATGCAATAATTAGCCGGCTGTGGTGGCATGCACCTGTAGTCCCAGCTACTCAAGAGGCTGAGGCAGGAGAATCACTTGAACCCAGGAAGCAGAGGTTGCAGTGAGCCGAGATCGCACCACTGCACTCCAGCCTCGGTGACAAAGTGAGACTCTGTCTCAATCAATCAATCTAAAGTCTAATGAACCATATAACGGATATTCTAGAACATGTTCTGTCTTTCAAAGCTAGTTAAGTCTAGTATCTGTTTCATAACAAACAATGATCCCAGTGAATGTTCTGCTGTAATTTCCAAGGAGAGAAATAGTGCATATTCTTGTGGGTCCCAGGGTTCTTCTGAATCGGTTCAGAATCCAGGACAAAGGGTAGCTCGTTACTTGTAGCAGTAACCACCAGGTGGCCCTGTATGGTGGGTGTGGGCAGAGAGGCAAGATCAGCAAGGTCCCTGAGTATATTGAGTGAAATGGTGCCCTCCCCTTCTCACTCAACTCATGTCCACCTGGAACCTCAGATTGCTACCTTATTTGAAAATAGGGTCTTTGTAGATATAATTAGTTAGGTTAGGATGAGGGCATACTGGATTGGGGGGGCCTCAACCCAACGACTGGTGTTCTTATAGGGAGACAGATGGAGACACACACACACACAGGGAAGGTGGCCATGTGACAGTAGAGGCCGGGCTGGAAAGATGCAGCCACAACGCCAGGAGCCACCAGGATCTCAGCAGAGGCGAGGAAGGACTCTTCTCCCTTCAGAGTGAGCACGGCCCTGGCAACAGCATGACTTTTAACTTCTTGTCTCTGAAACTTTGAGAGAATAATATTTGTATTGTTTTAAGCTGCATAGTTTGGGGTAACTTGTTCCAGCAGCCCTAGGAAATGAGTGAACTGAGGACTTTGTCACTAAACGGGGGCAGGCACAGTCAAGACTGTCCTCTTACTCTGGACTCCTGGGCAAAGGACTCTCAGTAGCTACGCTGTGGAGAGCGGGTGAGAGTGTCCAGGGGGCTAAAGCACAGCGACTGGAGATGGGAGCATCTCATTTCAAGCAAAGTGCAGCTGCTGAGATGTGAGGAAAGACCAAATCTGACGTGATGCTGGGGATGCAGAGTTACAGCCACAGATTAAATAGACTCCACGAGTAAACTGCGAGGGAAGAGCCTCCGTAACATGGCGATCTTCTCATTATACCAGCATGCATGAAATTAGGGCCACTGAGCCCAGCCTGAAATTCTGCAAAGTGTTGAACCACAGTAAATGGAAAGCTTTTCATTATAAATGATATGAAGGTGTTCCTTGGGGAAATCCAAGCTCAGGACGTGAGCCGAGACTCCACTCTGGCTGCATTTGGTCATGTACGCTTATGTAATAATGAAATTGATACACTCCTTCCCTATTTGATGGTCAGAGCCAAATCATTTTTTAATGGTCATGCTTAATATTTACTTACAAGCAGTCGTCCAGAAGGCATGGATTTCACTGGGGAGCTGACCTTGGTGAGGAGCTCTACTCCCTCCACGGCCGCATGAGTCCGGCTGCTGGGGCTGCTTTGAGCTCGTTTTCTAAAGGGTGTTGGTGCTGGCCAGTGAGAAGCTAAAAACAGTTACTCTCACACACAACTCGGATTGATTCAAGACCCAGAAAACAAAGATGCTCTACATTAGGACAGAAAAGGTAACTGGAAACTTTTCTCTAGTTCTGCAAAACTTTTCCCAAACATTATCTCTTCACACAAACTCTTCTAGACCCTCAAGGCTTTTAGAAAGTCGTGATTTTCTGGTCTGGATTCAAACCAAGACCTAAAGCCTGGAGTGCCTGCCAGGCCCAACCACGTGGTGCTGCCCAGCGTCCAAACTGCATGAGTCTGCTCCCTTCCCTCTCTTAAAACCAGTGAAGCTGGCCCGAAACCTTATTTCTGAATTTTTTATGTTTCATTTTTCCTGGAGGAATATGTTACATTCTGATTCTATATTAATTGAATCACAAAAGAAGCTGTTGAGGGCATTTGATTTGCCAAGCTGTTGAGGCGAATGGTTAATTGTCTGGAATTCAGCTTCCTGGAAAGGCAGATGGAGGAACAGGAAGGCTAAAAATTAAAATTAAAAACTAAAGGAAAGAGGGAAGAGAAGAGAAGAAAAGGAAACCAAAGGAGAAAAAACTATAAAATGGAAGATGGAGAATGTGTAAAGAACACGCCTTTGGGTTGTATGTTCATCTGCTAGGGCCACCACAACAAAATGCCACAGACTGGGTGGCTTAAACAACACCTATTCATTTTTTTCACTGTTCTGGAGACTGGACATCCAAGATCAAGGTACAGGTAAGACTGGTTTTGGAGGTCTCTCTCTTTGGCCTACAGATGTCCCGCATCTTACTGTGTTCTCAAATGGCCTTTCCTCTGTACGTGTACCTCCCTGGTGCCTCTTTCTCTTCTTATAAAGATGCCAGTCATATTGGATTAGGGCCCCGGGAACAGGAGCAAATGACCTGATGTGAGAGATCAGCACTTGGTTCCAGCCTTGATTTCTCCCTTGGCCAGCCAATTCCCAACACCTAATGAGGTATGACTCATTCCACTTAATGACTTCTTTAGGACCCTGTCCCCAAATGCCAAGTAACATTTGGCACTTGGGGTTAGGACTTCAACATATGAATTTGAGGAACACAATTCAGTCTCTAATAGGTTGTTTGGAGACTACAGCTATGCCTTCCCTGGTTTAAACTGTTGATCTCATTTCTTCTTGTTTACTATGGACTGAAATGCTGTAACAAATGACCTCTCAGAGCTTAGACTAGGCCTTGCCATTAGTTCATCCTTTTACTTAGGAGAAATTATGTCCAGATAATAGCAAATTAGTGTGTCAAATGCACACATTATGTGCCATTCACTATCTTCACAACTACACCCAATTTTTATCTTTGAGAAAAATAAGGTTTAGAGAGATTAAGAAACTTGTTTAACACCCTGAGCTAGCAGATTCAGCACTCAAACCTAGATGTGCAACTGCAAACTCCAGCCTTAAGCACCAAGCCACAGTGCCACGCCTGGAACTGAGGAGAGTGATCAGATGTTCTCTCGGCATAATTTAGCAGCAGCAAGCGGGTTTTAGCCCTTGGGTAGTGTGGTGAGGTGGTCTGCTTGAAGAAGCAACCATATTTTGTCTTTTCAAATTTCCTTAGATGTGGGAAATTTTCCACCCCCACTCCCTAAGGGAGAAAGGACAGAAGGAACAGCCCTGCTTCTCTCTACCTCATCCACTTATGATTCCGGGAAACAGGATCAAAGGACCTCATGTGAGAGCTCAGCACACTTGGCTTCAGCCTTGACTTCTCCCTCCGTCAGCCAGTCCCCCACACCCTCATCTTCTCACCGCTGTAGTAAACCTTCCAGAGCAATCTCTTTCCCTGGAGTGGGAGAAGCCCCACAGGGGTCCTGCTGAGCCAGGAACCACGAGGGCAAGGATTTCCAATTCCCCACGAACTATAGCAAGCAAATTGGTCACACATCCAAAGTCACATTTGCCAGTCAGTCATTTTTATTAGTAAGAAAACAAGTGCTTTGATCTGCATCTTTCTGTCTTATTTCTCAACTGAGTTCAAATTCAGAGGGATGTAGGCGGTTTTTAATTGGCCTCTCATCTACCCAAAAAGAATGAGAATGAATTTTGGAAGCATACAGATCTAGATTTGAATCCTAGTTCTTTCCTTACTAGCTGTATGACTTTGGTTCAGTTACTCAAATTCTCTGAGCTTCAATTCCCTCATCTTCAAAGTGAGAGTCATAGTACCCACTTCGCAAGACTGAACAGCTAAATGAGGTGAGGTATAGAAATCTCTGCACCTAATGAGTATTTAACAATTGTTCGTTTCCTTCCTTCTTTTCTCTTCCTCTTAGTCACAGTCCAACTTTCATGAGTTATTTTTATTAAAGAAATGTCTTTCCTGGTCTGTAACCCTTTATTACAAATATTTAACTTGATTTTTATGGTATCTCATAGGTGCTGGCAACAAAAGTAAACTTGTATAATTAAGTCTCACCGAGTTGCTATCTTCTGTAGATTGGGTCTTTATACCTTAAATCTGTCCTGTTGGAAGCAATACATCTGATGGAATTATTTCAACAGCATGCAAACTTTTTAATTGTATGATTTGGTTGTAATTAGCCCCTTTCAAGGAACTTCAAAATCAAAATTTGAATATGTAAACAATGTTAAACTTTGTAGAATCTGCAGTTATTATTTTGGCTTCAATTCAGTGTACAATACTATTTAGAGAAGGTGAGAAAGGGATAAATATTTTTAGATTTGAAGCAACTCAATCTTTCAAATTTCATTATTCAATTCTTTCACATTTGTTCTGATGAAAGAACTAAAAGCTCAGCCTTCAGAGGCCACACAATGTTGCTTGCCCAGTGGGTCCATGATTAAATGTGTTCTCATGTGGAAGGAGAGCAAAACAAACAAACAAACAGCTGACAGATGACAGCTGAACATTTCTCACTGATGTGCAGCATGACTCTTCATTTGGAAGTGAAAATGACAAACAGGTGTGTGACATTGGCGTCAATAAGTAGTCAATCCCCATGAACAGATCATGGCGGCTCTGCCTTCAGGCTCTGGGCTTAAGCAATTTTCTGGTTCAAGACAGAAGATGTGCCTTAACAGCGCCCTTTGAACCCAGGGTTTACAAAGGCTCTCTCTCAGGATGTAACAAGCTGTCACGGAGGCAAAGACTAAGACCAACTTAGACAGATCCATGGAAATTTTGATTTAATTCCTGGCTCAAAGCTTGAGCTCACCAACGCTAATAATGACAGGGGACAGTGGCAGTCCTAGGTGATGCCGAGCATCCCCCAGGGAGTTTTGCTCCCTTCTCTTGGGTGCAGACATTGGTGATATTACCCGTCTCCAACGTGGACTTGCTCAGCGTTGATCTCTGCCTTTCCTTCACCTTTAGATTTCTTACTTCACTGACCCAGACCAAAGAAAAGAGAAGTGAGAAATAACAGGGAATAACTCTGAGTGTTTCCTTGAATTCTTGGGGATTGTGTGACCTGAACCAATGAGGAAGAAGGGTCTGCTAGTGGGGAGAGGAGCACACCAGTTGGTTTCTTCTGTGCCTTCAGCCCATCCTCAACGACCCCCTCAGAAGTCCATCTTTGTTTCCAAAACTCAACACAATTCTTTAAGAAGGGTCACAAAAGTGTTGGCCCTTCCCCCTCTCCTGTTGGCTTAGAAGTCAGAAAAGGTCAAATAGAAGAGAAACAGGGAGTGGGTGTGAAGTCCCAAATTCCACCCTACTGTAGTGATACTCCCAGTTTTAAAGGATGCTGACTTAGTATGTACCCAGCCTCCTGTGTTGACATAGGGGTTCTAACGGCCGTAACTTTGGGGTGCCACCAGGGCTGGGGATTTGAAACAAAGTAAAGATGCCATTTCTGTGTTTTCAGAGAGCACCCAGCTGTGGTTATCTTACATGTTTAGTTTTTTAAGTGTGCTTGAACTTACTCCACTGTAAAGAAACTTCATCAGTTTTTCTTCGGTAACTGGTGGAAAATCATATGAGATTGTACGACGGTTATGCGCCATCTTTGACATTCCTAATCGAACCACTTGTTGGAGCAGTAAAATGTTATTGGATGTTGCTTGCCTGGAACGTGGCTTAGGTTGCCAGCATTAGACAGAAAGACCTGTAGTATATAAGTAGGTGTGAGACTGTTGAGGTCATACTTATTTTAGAATTCAGTTTATTCGAGATTTCAATAGTACAAAAACAATAGTATATCTAATATTTCAATTGTATAACAAAATACATATGCCCTGTGACAAGGCATGTCGCTGTGACAAAAGTTAGTACACCATAGCAGCAAGTTTGACATTTGCTTTTTTACGTTTAACAGGAAAAGGACTTGGCCTCTGTGACTCTGTGGTGAGGATGAAGGAGAAAAGCACCAGTTGGGGAAGCCGCTGTTGATGTTTCCCTGATCATGGAGAGACTGTTCTTCCTGGGAAAGGAAGTCATGGTTAGCCTCATGGCAGAGAAAAATTCGAATCTGTGGCAAATTTAATAAGGATTTGTCCTTACATCATATTTCACTCAAAAGCCAAGGCAATTGATGAAACACAATCAGATCGTAACACCCTGGTATTTTGCTAACATTCCCACAAGTCCCACTGGAATAGTGAAAACAACTAGAATTTAATGATCACCCCCACCTTTTCCACTAATCATTGACACGGTTATGATATTATCTGGTTGTCTGCTTTGCCTCTCCCATTACCCACAAAAAGGTAGCTCTCCACTAAGCGACCTGTGTTAGGTGCTGAGAGGCTTATTGGAGGTAGATTTAAACATTATGGGATAAGGTGAATTGTTGCACAATACTGTGTCCTAGAAATTCAAATGTTCAAAGTCTTGCATAGTTATCAGGTATTATGAAACTTCTCCTGGTTTGCTTTGTAAAAGTAACCAGAGTCTTCCCAAGGAACTGACTGTATGGTTGTTGGACAGTCTAAAATGTCACTAACTTGGGATACTCCTGGGTGTTTCCTTTCAGAAATATTATCTGACCCTACCCATACACTTCCTGCCCTACTCCCTGTCGGGACACTGACTATGTGACATCTCACAAAGGTAGGAGCGCTATTAGACCATCACTGGTATTTTGGTTTACTGGACTCTATTCTCCTTCCCTCAAAACTTTGACAGAGGAAACTTCCTTCCTGAGCTAAACTATTGTGTTGCTTGCGTATCTTGTCTTTGTTCTTGCGCCTCATTACTCACTATCAGAGCTCGATGATGAAATGATAAAATCTTGAGTCATTTTAGTGATAGGGCGGACTACCAGCTATAAAAGTACTGACGCACGTGTCTTAAGGAAACTGAAGCAGGCTCATCGCTTCTTTTCCTGTTTCCCTCTGTAAAATGTCTTACTTTGGCATGAGTGAAACATTGTAGCCCAGCATTTCTCAAACTTAGCATAGTGAATGCATCAAAATCACCTGGAGAACTGATTCAAACACATACTTCAGGCTCCCACCACAGAGTTTCTGACTCATTAGGTCTGGGCTGGGACACACTGATTTGCATTCCTAAATTTCCAGGTAAAGCTGATGCTTCTGGTCTGAGGACCTCACCTTCGGAGCCCCAGTTAGTCACCTTATGTGAGACCAAAACTATTTCTAGTTTAAGTAGAAATCCTGTAGTCTTAATATTTCTGAAAAACACTTTCAAGAATGCTATTATTTAATATTTAGATCAATGGGACTTTAAACCAACTAGGTTTAAGATCCCCCATCTGTCTAGTATCTATATTTCTAAAAATATGAATGGTCTCGTAGTATGCTGTAATGACAGTAATGAGCATTAACCGAGGCTGTAAAGCTCTGTATGACACTGTGCTAGCACTTTGCATATATTGTATGTAATTCCTACAACAGTATAGCTTCTTAGAAATTACAGTTAATATGAATGGGAAAACTAAACTCACAGAGGTTACAGGTGACACAGTGGTTACTCTGCAGCTGGGATTTGAGTCCACACATCTCTGTGCTCCAAAACTTCCATTATTTATTTCTTTTTTTTTGAGACGGAGTTTAGCTCTTGTTACCCAGGCTGGAGTGCAATGGTGCGATCTCGGCTCACCACAACCTCCGCCTCGTGGGTTCAGGCAATTCTCCTGCCTCAGCCTCCTGAGTAGTTGGGATTACAGGCACGCACCACCATGCCCAGCTAAGTTTTGTATTTTTAGTAGGGACGGGGTTACCACAACCTCCGCCTCGTGGGTTCAGGCAATTCTCCTGCCTCAGCCTCCTGAGTAGTTGGGATTACAGGCACGCACCACCATGCCCAGCTAAGTTTTGTATTTTTAGTAGGGACGGGGTTTCACCATGTTGACCAGGAAGGTCTCGATCTCTTGACCTCATGATCCACCCGCCTCGGCCTCCCAAAGTGCTGGGGTTACAGGCGTGAGACACCACGCCCGGCCAACTTCCATTATTTCTTGATGAACTGAGTGGGTGTTTGTTATTCCTAGAGTGTGATAGTTGCCATCACTTAACAGGGGTGGCTATTCAAGACCACTTTTATGGAGGCTGATTGTTTGTTAAATAATGTACTGAAGTGCACTAACTGACATTATAGTGCATGCCGCCGTGTACACACAGGTATCGGCTACAAGTACAGGAGGTCTCCCGCCGGCTTTCCTTCATTAAGAGAAACTGGATGAAGCAGGGACACAGTTGATCACGCTTTTTAAAATACAAAAAATCAAAGAGCAATTTCATTTTCATATTACATTTTTTCACATATATAAGGTACAATGCAATACGGAATAAAATTTGAAGAAATGTGCCTAACGAGAATGTGATCGTTCGCATTTCAGCCATCACCAGCCAGTGCTACCCGAGAAGACCAAGCCTGCTTTCTTTTCCCTCCTTGAGCACTTTTGAGTTATCGCCTTGCTTTTTGATTACAGACAAGTCCCAGATCTTTCCCTGGTTGATGGCACCTCCAGGAGCCCAGCACAAAATTCCCTCCCCTGCTTCCCCTCCCGTCTCTCTTTCCAGAGGCTCTTGAAGGTTTCCTTTTGTTTCTGATCCGTCTCAGGTAGTCCCCATCACTGACTCGATTTTCTGTCATTTCATCACTGAGCACTGATGGTGAGTCATGAGGCACAAGAACAAAGACGAGAGGCTACAACCAACACAGCAGTTCAGCTCAGGAAGGAAGCGGCATCTCGTCAAAGTTTTGAGGGAAAGAGAACAGAGTCCTGTAAACCAAAATGCCAGTGATGGTCTAAATAGCGTTCCTACCTCTGTGAGGTGTCACAGTCAGTAAACCCGACAGCTCATCCTTTTCTAAAGGACAGCTGTTTGCCCATCTCCTGGGAAGCTTCAGACTATTTGTTTTTTCCTATTCTGCAATCTGTCCTTTTCAAGGCAAGACATAAAGGGAGAAGAATGAGATCTGGTCATAAATATGTCTTTCCTCCTGGCTTCTCACCCTTGATCATTTCCTGCCAGTCAGAAAAATTACCTTTCCAGCAAGCATAGAACCAGTTCTTCGATTCGTGCCAATTTTGTGACTCGAAAAGGGCACTCTTCTTATTTTTGTGCCCTTGAAAATACTTGGGTCTGCGGGAAATGTCTGGGAGGATTTGCTTTATCATTTTCTTGCACGGGGGGTTCTCAGTGCCCGGCATCCTCTCACATTTAGGTCCCCATTAGGGTCCGTGCATGGTCTGTAACACTTCAGAGCTGCCTTTTCTCTTTCCTGATTTCCATTAAGCAGAATTATGTAAATTGTTTCGTTTTGTTTCTAACCATGAGAAAATATAGTTATGAAGGCAAAAGTGCTCATATTCTTGGCTATGCTGCCCTCCAGTCAGTGGCAGAAAATATTTATATTCCCCCAACTCCCACTTGGGCTCTCACCTGAGGTAAGCAAACATACCTTCTCATGGTGGAAAATCAACAAAAGGGACAAAAAAATCATTCCTGACCCAGGAGCAGAGTCTTCATGGTGTTTCTGATCACTCCAGCCCATGGCATGCTGGGCTCTGAGCCTGGATCTTCACCCCTTTTCGTCTTGGCTCTCAACACAGTGTGTGTCTCAGGGCTTGGCCTGGTCAATCTTTGCTCATAGTTCAAGATTTAAACTTGTTACCACATAACCTTCTTTTTACTCCAAATGTTGCATAAGACAAAAATAAAACTATGCACTTGATCATAACCTGGCACCCACGAGTGAGGTTCATGTCAGTGAAACTTTTGAAGAACAAAAAAGTGGCGGGGTAGGGCAGTGGACAGCAGGTAAGGCGGTAGCACCAACGACTTCCGTAAACAAATATCAAATTCCATCCTTCCAGCCTCTGCAAATAGCAACCTCATTCTTTTTTTCTTAGGTAAACATTTAAAAGTCAAGTATCTGGAACCATACACCGGATAAAGAGACATTTGTTTTATTTTTCTTTTTAAAAATAATCAAATAAGAAAAATTATTAACAGAAAAGAGTTTGAGCGTAAATGCCCAGTATCATAAAAAAGATTCGTACTTAGTACACCTCTCAAATAAAGTGTCCTAACAACATTTAGCATTTAAAGTTAAGATATTTGCAGAAAGTGTAAGAAACTAACAAACAAACAGGTTTCTTTTTGCTCCTCTAATGCAAAATTCCTTTTGCTGTTTGCTCATAAGATCAAATTGCCCCTTTTTGGCAGAGACCGGATGATATTTGAAACTGAACTAAATCAAATACAAGATGCTGGTTGTTTCTTCCTCTTTAGGGCGTAGACCAGCCAAGGCCCTGCGAGGTCTTGGGTCTTCACAGGGTTGTTTTCTGAGCAGGGAGCAGGCGCCATGAAGGGACACAATGTTACTCTGCCATCTTTGCTTCAGAGCTTCAAGAGCACAAGATTTCATTTGAGTTTCTGGTTGGCAAGTCCTCAGAAATATGGTCTAGGCAATATAACCCACCTCAATATTGTCCCAAAGGATTCTAAGATAGATGTTAGCCACTCAGGTTTGTAACAAATACAAGTTCCCCCAGCGCTTCTTCTTGAATCATAGCTCTTTCCGGAAAGCAAGCAGTTACTACTGAGAAATTATTTGTTTCAAATCCATGAGCAGAGTTGAGAAACAGCATTTTGAGTAGGATGCTAGTTTTGTGATATTTGTTCAATCATTAACATATTACATTTTCTGGATTGAATAGCTGAAGGTTACCTACAAAGACAGGGAAAAGGATTTTGAACCACAAGCTCAGATTAGAGAATTTGACCAATTGATAGTTTAATTTTTCAAATGACATTCAGAAAGTTTAGGATTATTAAATCCGGCCCGAGCTAAAGTTTATCTTTCATTATCTGGGAGGAAACGTTTTGCTAAGCAAATTAAGAGTATAATAAAATTATATAGTATATTTTAACCTACTAAAAAGAAGAAGGTATAACTATTCTCTTTTTATGTTTTATTTCTATAGATCATTGCTTCGTTTATGGTGAAGACCATTTTATTTCACATAGTGATTCGTGTAACTTTTTTACATGAGAGCAAGAGAATAAATATGTTTAGAAAGATTCACAGTTGAGTGGCACAAGTTTTTGTTTCAACATCTCACTTCTCAATCTAGCTCTGTATTTTAAAATTAATTTTTGTAATATTCAGTCAGTATTTATATAATTATATTATGATTGTAGGTAATTTGATGAAAAATAGCTTTAAATCCAATAGGACTAGGAATGACTACATTACAGCATATTACGTCTTTGAATCAGCAGTGCTGTATCAAACTACTTTTTCTCTACATTAATTACTGTGCTCTTTTCACAGTCCAGCTGAAATAATTTCCTTTTCGGGAAGCCAAAAGGCAAAGCAGAATTGTTCTCAGTTTAAGCAGCAGGAAATATCATATTCAAGGTGTAAGGTGTAAGTCAAGAGCCAGGTGAGATGGGCCAGGAACGTGGCAGCAGGTAAGAGCCAAGCAGCTCAGCAACCAGACAGCAAGAACCCACTGTATCTGGAAGAGGTAACCCCAGCTGGTCTCCACTACTGAGACAAGGGTAAGGTTTTTCTTGCGTCTGACTCAGCCAGGAAGACCCAAGGAGCAAATATTGGTGAAGCACAGGATAATCATATGATTTATTGTTCAAACTGGCACACTTTAGATTCTGAAAGAAGGTGCTGTTGGTGTTGCTGCTAAGAGAAAAGGTGCACATCAAGCCTACTCCAGGTAGCACGGGACTTCCAGTCACCCACGTAGGACCCAGGCAGAGCAGTACAGTTTCCACATCAGAAAAATTTCAAGCAGAGAAAATCATTTACCAGGTCAGGTAGTTAAGGTATGGGCTGCGGAGGGGATGTTCTCCAAGGCTGATAGCCAGTTACCGGCAGAGTTAGGACTAGAACTAGAATTTTCTGCTCCCAGCTCAGTGTTTTTCTATTGTGCCACCATTTGCATAGTGTTTTATTCTTTCAAAGCATGATCACAACCTCATGTAGCCCCAGTTTCCGTAGGACGCAGCTTTCAGGAGTATAAACTAAGGTCACAACAATAACAAGCAGTATTTTCCTGGCTCCTCCTCCACTTGTGATTTCAGAAATTCCAGTTTTACTTTAAATTACCATTAAACAATTCCTAGCAGTCTCCTGGGGTCAGCTCATGTTTGTTCATGAATAAAATCCTCCCTCCACTCTGTGGAATTCATCCTTCCCCTTCACACCCTCACACTAGGGCAGCATAAACACCACGTGCTGGTTTGGAGTCAGAGCTGGGCTCTAGTCCCTTGCCAGTATTATGACCTCGAACTCAGCATTTAACCTTTCTAGGCCCAACATCCTTCCAGGCCTGTATATCTGTAAAATGGGCCCTTTATGGCATCAGTTTATTGACCTGTAGCTATTAAATGAAATAACATACAGTCGATTCTCATTGTTTGTGGCAGTTATATTCCGTAAAGTCACTCCAAATACGGAATTAGCAAATACTCAACCAACGCTCCTCACGGAAATACAGGGTTAGGTTCCTGTGCGTTTCTGGTCACAAAACTTGTCAGCCAATCAATACATTCCCTTATTTTATGTGTCTTTCTTTTTAAAGACACTGTATTCAATGTATTTGTCTGATTCATTAGCATTAAACTCCCAGCCAACAGCACGAAAACTCATGCCTGGTGCAGGTTTGTCTAACCATGTATTCTGTAGGGCAGACCACAGAGCCTCCTTGCACTTAGAAACATCAGACAGCACTTCAGCACTAGCTTGGAGGCTACTTGAAACAGTGAAATACCTACAAAGATGCAAAAAAATGTGCCTCTGAATAGACCACCACAAGGACCCCAGGTTATGGTAGGAGAGCTGAAACTAAAAGGCAAATCATCGTGAGGAAGGTGCATGCTCACTGGGGGAGTTGAATGATCCTCTGCTCCGTGTTCATCCACGAATGACCATGAAAGCACTGCAGGTGTTGATTTTGGGGTCATGATCAGTTTTAGCAAGTAGATGAATGCAGAATGTGAATAGTATATAAAGAGCTTAGCACAGTTGATGTCATGAAACTCCTAATCGATGTTCACTGTTGTTCTTGAGTGGTTATTGTTGCCCCTACCAACTCCTAAGACACAGGAAAGTCACCTCTCACCGAAGGAGATATTGTATTCTGCAGGACAAATAGTAGGCGGGTCTAGCTCATTGGTGAGGCCTTGCATCCCACATAAGAAAAGGGTTATAAATTCTTCCTAAGAGGTTCCACATTGCACCAGGTAATGCGCTCCTAGTGGGCCCTTTCCAGCTTCTCTAGAGTTAAGCACTACTGAAGGCTTAGGTGGACATCATGTGGGTCTGAATTAAACATCCCTTCCCCTCCTGGGCCCCAGCTCTCGGCATCTCACCTTCACCAGGCGTTGATGCTACATGTGCGAGTGCACGCCGCGGCAGAATGAATTAATGACCCATCATCAAGCAAATTCCACACACAGTTGAACACTTCCCAGCGTCTCACACAGAAGGTGCATTCAGATTTTTATGTCCTTCTTCTTCGTTTCTGTTTCTTGAGTTTCTCCTTCCGCTGTCTCTGTGCCCTTGCATGTTCTCTCCTATTCTTGGAGCATGCTCTTGAAGTGGATTTATTCCTCCTTGACTGCCCTCTTTCCCTTTCCTCCCTGAGGCCTGGATTTCTGGCTTATTCAGTCTCAAGTTCCAGTTTCTCCTCCTCCAGCAGATCCCCTTTCCACAGATCTTTCTATAATTGCGCTTGTTGTTTTCCTCTGGCCGTCTTCACTTCCAAGAACGGCCTCCTCCTCCTCCGCTTGCCCTTCCCTCCCTTCTGGCCGTCTGATGGGGCTGTTTTCTCTGGGGCAGGCCCAGACTGTCGCCTTTCCTCAGCAGGGAGGTGTCTTCTCCCTGCTGTTTTCTCCCTGTACTTTGGGTTGAGCCCTAGCTGCTTTCTCAGTTTCCCGCTTCCCCTTCCTCTCTTGTCTTCATCTAAATCCATCACCCTTGACTCACGTGATTTATAGCTTTTGATTTTGCAAAAATTGGACTGTCTTAAAATCGGTTGTACTTGAGCACTCTGTGTACCCCCTTTACACAACAGCACGTTTTACTGCATGAATCTGGATACACTGCAGGTCACATCCCGACCTCCAAATGGCAGCTCCTCACAGGCCAGCCTGGTGACTGTCTACCCGTGATGTGCCTTCTGTCTTCCAGTTCCAGACTCAGAAAGACCTGATGCCACAGTTTTAAATCTTATGCCCAAACATTAATTTGCTCTGTGGTTTAAACACTGTGATCTTTGCTGCTTTCACTTCCTCTACCCTGCCCCACTTACCCACCCCACTCCCCAGTTACTCTCTGGTAACCGCCCTCCTTAGCATTGCCAAGCACTTCCTAAAACGTCCATCCACTGACCTCGCCTCGATATCATTCTCCTTTCCTTCTCAGCAGCATTCAACCTGTTCATTCTTTCTTCAACAAATAGTCAGTGAGTGTTTCTCTGTATCAAGCGCTGCTCTAGGCCCTGAGGACAGGTTAATAAAGCAGAGATCGCTGCCTTAGTGAAGGTTGTAGCTTATCGGCGTAGGGAGGCAGACACCATACAACATACACAATGTATTATGTAAATTAGTAGTAGCGGTTATGAATTAACTACACAGACAAATTAGTAAGTAAACGATCGAGTTAACACTTAATAAACAGAAGCTAGAGAAAAAAGGAAAACTAGAACGGGGA